GCCAGCCTTGTGGCCGCACCCACCCTCCTGGTCAGTGCTTTGCTCAGCTCACTGACACGGTTCGCTTGGCCTTCGGCGTTGGCGGCCCTGCCCCTGACTGGTTACCTCTTGTTCAGACGTACGGCTCCGCTCTTTGGGGCATGTCTGCTTCTTAGTTGCTTGATCTCTTAGGAACTCCTCATGCTATGTATGCTGTTGTTGACTCTAGTGCTTTTGACTCTGTTTACTCGAGTGTTGTTAGCTTAGGTGCTAGTCTTGCTGAGTTGCCTGTTGCTAGTGTAGGCACTTGTGTAGACACTAGTCCAAGCGCTACTTCGGAGGACGATTCGCTGTCTTTCACTCTGGACTCTGGGGCTTCGCACTGCTTCTTTCGCGACCAACACGACACTTACTACACTTCCTGCGCCAGTCTCTCTAGCCCTGGCTGATCCCACCTCGGGACCAGTCACTGCTCGCTACACTACTACTCTTCCTTGCCCTGCTGTTCCCTCTGGGTCTCTGACTGGCTTCCACGTCCCCTCGTTCTCGAGGAGCAGCAGCAGCAGCAGCAGCAGCAGCAGCAGCGGCAGCAGCAGCAACAGCAGCAGCGGCAGCAACAGCAGCAGCAGCAGCGGCAGCAGCAGCAGCAGTAGCGGCAGCAGCAGCAGCAGCAACTCCTTCCCCCGGCCCCGGTTACTTCCCCCAGTCTGGTCCCTGCGTCTCACCAGGTTGCTGCGTCCCCCCAGGTAGCTGTGTCTAGTCAGGTTCCCGTGTCTGGTCCAGTTGCTGCGTCGTGCTCCTGCCGGTCACTTGCACACCCCACCGTTCTGTGGCACCAACGGACGGGGCAAACGTCCCTCCCTCGTCTGCGCGCTATGTCTCGTCAGCGTCTTGTCTTAGGCCTCCCGCGTGTCTTGCCGTCGCTGCCGCCTTCGCTTGCACCGCCGTGCGGTCCCTGCGTCGAGGGTCGGCTGCACGCCACCCCTCACTCCTCCTCCCTTCGTCCGGCCACCGAGCCTTTTGAGACGCTCCACTTGGATGTCTGGGGCCCCGCCCCTCGCCTTGGCCCTGAGCGCGAGCATTTCTTTCTGGTGGTCGTTGACGACTACTCCCGCTACACCACAGTGTTCCCCTGGGCAAAGAAGGCTGAGGTGACTTCTACGCTGATCAGGTGGTTGCTTACCACTGAGGGCACTTGTGGTCGTCATGAGCAGCTGTCTTCACTCTGACCGTGGGGTTGAGTTTCGCTCCGGCATTCTCGCTGGATTCTGTCGCGAGCAAGGCATTCGTCAGTCCTGGACGCTTCTAGAGTCCCCACAGCAGAATGGGGTTGCTGAGCGCCGCATAGGCTTGGTCATGGAGATCGCCCGCACCTCTTTGACTCACGCCCGTGCCCCCCATTTTCTGTGTCCCTACACGGTTAGGTACGCCGCTCACCAGCTGAACCTTTGGCCACGCGTCTCTCGGCCAGAGGCTTCACCGACCAGTCTTTGGACCGGGTCCCCTGGTGTTGCGTCGAGGTTTCGTGTCTGGGGTTGCTTGGCTCTTGTTCGCGACACTTCCGCAGACAAGCTCTCGCCTCGCGCCGTTCCCTGTGTCTTCCTTGGTTTCCCTGAGGACTCCTCTGACTTCACCTTTTACCACCCTCCCTCTCACCGGTTCTTTGACTCCCGTGACGTCCGTTTCGAGGAGTCCACCCCCTACTACGTCAGGTACCCCAGTCGAGGTCTCCCGGTTCCTCCTCCCCCTCTCTTCCTGACTTCCGCTCCCCCGGTACAGCCTCCCCCCCCTGGTCCCGCCCCGTCAGGTGTGTCCCAGGCTACCCCTCCCCCATCGGTAGCCCCTCAGGTGCAGCCTCCTTCCCCGCAGTCCTCCTCGCAGCCTGCTGCAGACCCTGCGGGAGCCGGTGCTCGTGGAGAGGGCCCTACAGGTGCTAGCTCTGGGGGTGCTGGAGTTGGAGCTGAGCTTGTGGTTGTAGGAGACTCTTTTCTTCCGGGAGCTGGTGTTGGTCTTGCTGACTTTGGGGGTGCTACGTCTGGGGGTGCGGGTGGACCCTCTTCGGGTCCTGGTGAGCCTGGTCGTGTTGCTGTTGGTGGTGCTGACTCTGGGGGTGGTGCGCCAGGTGCTTTGGAGGGCGGTCCCGGGGCTGCCGCAGCCCCCGACACTATTCCTCCCCCCCACCCCTACCCGACCCGGCACCAGGCTCGTGTTCGACGTGCCCGTGAGGAGCAGCTGGAGTTGGAGAGAGAGGAGAGAGAGTTGCAGCGGCTGGAGGAGCAGCAGCAGCAGCAGCAGCCGCAGCTGGAGCCGCCGCAGCAGCAGGAGGCGCAGCAGCTGGAGCCACTGCAGCAGCAAGAGGAGCAGCAGCAACCGCCGCAACAGCAGCAGCAGCCGCCGCCTCCTCCTCCTGTCCCCGGTCTTCGGGCCCTCGGTCTCCCCTCCTGCTCTCCTTCCTCCTCCCCCTCTCCTCCCGTCTCGGGTCCTCCGCTTCCTCCTCCTGACCCCTCCCCGGCTGTTTTCCCTCGTTATCAGCCTCCGTTGTGCCCTCCTCCTCAGACCTGGGCCTCTCGTCGCTCCCCTCGTGCTCGTCCCTCATCTCCTGTTCTCGTTACTGACCTTCGTACTGCCCTCTTTCGTTCTAGTCCGCCTCGTTCGTCTCCGTCTCTCCTTCCGTCTCCTCCTGAGTCGGCCTTCACTGCTTCTCTCTCTACTCCTGTCACTGACTAATACCGCACGTACCGTCCTGTTCTCTCCCGTGTTCACGCCTCTCTTGTTACAGACCCTCGTGCCTCTGTCTCCTCTGTCTCCGCCCTTACTGCCGCAGTCACTGAGTTTGCCTCCACTCGCCGCCTTGACTACGCCACCGGTCTTGTGGCTGCTCCTCCTACCAGTCCTCTGGCCGTCGGGGGTGAGTTTGCCCTTGGCTGTGACGCCCTAGAGGACAGGCAGTTTGAGCTAGAGTTCCTGGCAGCCGCTTCCCCACATCTCTGTGCCATGCTGCTCGCCCCTGAGGGAGACCCCAACGCCCTTGACATACTGACTCCTCGCACTTACGCTGAGGCAGTGTCAGGGCCTTGGGCCTCTCAGTGGAGAGCTGCCATGGACGCAGAGATGGCCTCCTACAGATCCACAGGCACCTACGTCGACGAGGTTCCCCCCCCTGGGGCGAACGTAGTCGATGGCATATGGATCTACAGGGTGAAGCGGCCACCGGGATCTCCTCCGGTCTTCAAGGTGCGCTACGTGGCTAGAGGTTTCAGTCAGCGCGAGGGAGTTGACTTCTTTCAGACCTTCGCGCCTACCCCGAAGATGACCACTCTTCGGGTGTTACTGCACGTAGCAGCACAGAGAGACTATGAGTTACACTCTCTCGACTTCTCCACTGCTTTCCTTCAGGGTAGCTTACACGAGGAGGTCTGGCTGCGTCGTCCCTTTGCCTTCACTGACACTTTCCCTCCTGGGACCCAGTGGAGGCTGAGGCGACCTGTCTACGGTCTTCGTCATGCTCCTCGTGAGTGGCACGACACTCTTCGTTCTACCCTCTCTGACCTTGGTTTCTAGCCGTCTTCTGCTGACCGTCGCTGTTCGTTCGTCGTGGCTCCACACCGTTCTTTGTTCTGGTCTACGCCGACGACCTGGTTTTCGCCACTGCTGACAGGGTTGCCTTGGCAGACGTGAAGTCCGAACTGCAGAAGAGACACACGTGCACTGACCTTGGTGATCTGTGCCACTACCTTGGCCTGCAGATCACCAGGGACAGAGCTGCTCGCACCATTACACTCTCACAGTCACACATGGTGCAGCAGGTCCTTCAGCGGTTCGAGCTTCAGCACTCCACAGTACAGCGCACACCTCTTGCTGTTTACCACAGACTTACTGGACCCTTTCCTGACGAGCCGTTTGAGTCTAGTGGTCCCTACGCAGAGCTGGTGGGCTGCCTCATGTACCTGATGACTTGCACTCGCCCGGACCTCGCCTTCCCTCTCAGCATCCTTGCTCGCTTTGTTGCGCCAGGGAGACACCGTCCTGTTCACTGGACGGCAGCTGTGAGGGTGGCGAAGTACCTAGCGACGACATCAGGCGTGGGGCTAGTTCTTGGAGGGCGGCAGCCTGTCGTACTTACTGGTCACTGTGACTCTTCTTACGCTGACGACGCTGAGACTCATAGGTCTACTCAGGGGTACTGTTTCAGCTTGGGTTCTGGAGCTGTTTCGTGGCGGTCCACACGCTCCTCTTCGGTCTCGACCTCTACAACTGAGGCTGAGATCTACGCTGGTGCCATGGCGGCACAGGAGCTGCGTTGGTTGACCTTCTTGCTCGCCGACCTTGGTGAGCGGCCGAGCTCTGCACCGACCTTGTTCACTGACAACAAGGCGTCGATTCTCCTTTGTCGATAGCCGCGACTGGAGAGCCGAGTGAAGCACATTAACGTCAGGTACTTTCTTCTGCGAGAGTTGCAGAGACGTGGACAGGCTCGCTTCGAGTTTGTGGAGTCCGAGGCCAACACTGCAGACATCTTCACCAAGGCGCTTCCGCCTTGTGACCACCAGAGGTGTTGTGTGCAGTTAGGCCTTGTTGACACAGTTTCTAGTCATTTATAGGCTTGAGTCTACTGTTTGCTTTGCTTGTACTCTTGCTATACACACTTGTGAACTCTCGAACTGGCCTTGTGGCCCCTGTTGCTTGTGCTCAGAGTGTGTGGTGACGTTGTGATCCACCCTGAGCTTTGTTTCTTTGTGACTGGTCTTGTGGCCGTACACTTTTGGTTTTGCTTGACACCCCTCACTTAGGCTATGGGGGTGTGTCAAATGTTGTAGCCTGTAGTGAGGTTTGTCTTAGGGGGTACAGATGTTAGGGTTTGTTATATGTACCCCAACCCACATCAATGAACCAACACTTTCATTCTTGACAGAAGGGTACTTACTTAGAATGAAGTCCCGGGTTCAACTCTCACCGACGGGTTGTTCGATTGATTAACTAAGGTACCTGGGACCTAAGGTACAATTAGACTCCAGCTACAATTAGACTCGAGCAGGGAAGGCAGCACCGGGACGCGTGTACTGAGGCAGCCCGACGTGCGGCCCTGAGGAGGAGCAGGTGCACGGCGGAGGGGGAGGGGGCAGGTGGGAGGGGGAGGGGGCAGGTGGGAGGGGGAGGGGGCAGGTGGGAGGGGGAGGGGGCAGGTGGGAGGGGGAGGGGGCAGGTGGGAGGGGGAGGGGGCAGGTGGGAGGGGGAGGGGGCAGGTGGGAGGGGGAGGGGGCAGGTGGGAGGGGGAGGGGGCAGGTGGGAGGGGGAGGGGGCAGGTGGGAGGGGGAGGGGGCAGGTGGGAGGGGGAGGGGGCAGGTGGGAGGGGGAGGGGGCAGGTGGGAGGGGGAGGGGGCAGGTGGGAGGGGGAGGGGGCAGGTGGGAGGGGGAGGGGGCAGGTGGGAGGGGGAGGGGGCAGGTGGGAGGGGGAGGGGGCAGGTGGGAGGGGGAGACAGCAGGTGGGAGGGGGAGGGGGCAGGTGGGAGGGGGAGGGGGCAGGTGGGAGGGGGAGACAGCAGGTGGGAGGGGGAGGGGGCAGGTGGGAGGGGGAGGGGGCAGGTGGGAGGGGGAGGGGGCAGGTGGGAGGGGGAGAAGGTGGAACCTGGAAGAAACGGATGGCACCTGGAAGAGGGAAGGTGAAGGTACCTGGAAGTAGCAGATGTCCGAGGGATCCCCACTGAGGAGGCATGACTTTGCGTGGCAGCAGCTTAGTTTAGGTAAAAGATTGCTTGTTTGTAGTAGGCTTGCTTAGAGACCTTTGTGAAAAAAGTGGTGGTAACTAGTTTGGGCTGTGAGCCTTGTTGAGAGCACAAAGGCACGCGAATGAAAGCAAGCACCCTAAAACCCATCCCGGGGCTCCAGCGCAAGGCATTCCTTCGCGGGGCTGGGATGGCAGGGAAAGCAGATAGAAACAGTAGAAAACTACTCTACAGTAATCTAGCACTTATGAGCAGAAATTAAAACATTGAATACTCTTTTAGGTAACCTCCAAGCAATGATGCTTCTTCTTGTAGAATATACGCCGTGTGACATTATACCGGGCTGACTTTTGAGTCGACTCACGTCACCTCACCTGGAAGTAGCGGATGGCAGCTCACCTGGAAGTAGCGGATGGCAGCTCACCTGGAAGTAGCGGATGGCAGCTCACCTGGAAGTAGCGGATGGCAGCTCACCTGGAAGTAGCGGATGGCAGCTCACCTGGAAGTAGCGGATGGCAGCTCACCTGGAAGTAGCGGATGGCAGCTCACCTGGAAGTAGCGGATGGCAGCTCACCTGGAAGTAGCGGATGGCAGCTCACCTGGAAGTAGCGGATGGCAGCTCACCTGGAAGTAGCGGATGGCAGCTCACCTGGAAGTAGCGGATGGCAGCTCACCTGGAAGTAGCGGATGTCGGAGCGGAAGGTGGGGATGAGCGGGTGCGCGGAGTGGAACACCAGCGACAGCGCACCCGCGAAGTACCCCGTCCCCTCTGCCAGCTGCCTCCCCTGCCGCGCACTCATGGCCTGGGGGAGGGGAAAGTGGAGGAAGGGGAGAGGTGGGGGGAGACGGGGGTAGGTGGAGGTGCCGGGGAACGATTGTTGGAAGCGAGAAGGGGAGAGAGGGGCACAAGAAGATGCATGCATGGAGCAATGGACGGACAGGAGTAGTTGTTCGGGTGGGAGTAGTTGTTCGGGTGGGAGTAGTTGTTCGGGTGGGAAGTAGTGGCCCTGCCAGGCACGCCCAGCCTCCCTCGCCTGCCCTCCGCCGTTACTGGCAGCACTGCGCCCACACGGCTCCTCCCGTCCTGCGAGGGACCTGCGTGGAAGAGCGCTCTAGAGAATAGCTTCATCACCAGCAGCCTTCCTGTGAAGCCTCTTAAATCAACTCACAGTTTCCCCTGACCAGCCTTGGTACAGCGAGGAGGATGGGGTTGCCCATACAGCGAGGAGGATGGGGTTGCCCATACGTCCAGCCAAGCCCACCTCGTTTCTGAACCTCCTTGCTCACAGCGTGGCACGGAGGCTGTTCAATGCAGGCCGCCAGGACCATCCACCTACCGTCAGGCATGGTGGCACTCCGTGGGTGCCAGCCAGTGAGCCTTCTCATCAAGACGAGCACAGTTTTTTAGGCAAGGTCGTGCGAGGGACATGCGAGGGACGCGGCAGTCGTTCACAGACCACCCGCGCAAGCCACACTCTTGCATACTGCACTGCACGTTGAAAGAATCTCAAGTGTTATCCTCATTACAAAGGGTGTGGGTACATATCGAAGATGAGAAGTTGGGAACTAGGTGGGGTACCATCAGCATTGTTGGCGGACCAATCAGATTGGGTCGCCCAATCATTGCTGAGGTAAAAAACAAATGTTGGAGGGGATCCATTATTGCCCCCCCCCCCGTCAATTGCGGTCGAGTTAGGTTTGAGGGCGCCCAACTAAAATTGGTTGGGTCGCCTTGACCCAAAGTGTACACCCATGTAAGGGTGTAACACTTGCACCAATATAAACATACATTATGCTATGTTCTAACACACTTACCGTCCCACCCACCCAGCCGTGAACCATCCACCTAGTCCAACCCAAAGCCCTCCCAAGCCCCTCTTGCTCTCCCTACCCCTTACTGCCCACTCTTCTTCTCAAGTCCCCCCATGCTCCGCTCACCTTGGCGCGTGCCGCAGTGAGCTGGCCTCTAACGATGGACACGTTGGCAGCGGCCTTCTCGAGCACGTGGCCGCCCTCCAGCACGCGTGTGATGCCGTACCCCGCCGCTGGGTTGCCGGGGTCGCGCTCCCACCGGTCCTCCACGAACGCCTTGCCGCTGCCGTCCTGCTCTGCTGACTGCCGCACACAGTGCGGGCGGTGGAGGAAGGGGGTTTCAGGGGGAGGGAAAGGTGCAATGAGTGCAGAGACGAGAGCGGGATGGCAGGGCAGGTGGCGAGAGTGGTGGCACAGGTGTGTGCAGGTGACGGGGGTTAGGGGCGACGTGACGTGGAGGGGCGAGAGATGGAGGGGCGAGAGGGACGATGGGATGGGCAGACAGAGCGGCTATGGGACGACACATAGGACGCCACCTCACCACATGTCACCGCCTTACCTCACCACATGTCACCGCCTTACCTCACCTCCACACCTGTCGGCACGGCACGGCACCCCACCTGGTGACAGGTGGCGGCCTGCAGGTCCAGCAGCAGCTGCTCGAAGCCGCCCTGCGAGAAGGCCGCTGTGTCCGCCGCTTGTGCTGACGCCGCTGCGGGGGAAAGGCGGGGAAGGGGATGGGGGAACGGAGGGGAAGGCGGGGAAGGGGATGGGGAACGGAGGGGAAGGCGGGGAAGGGGATGGGGGAACGGAGGGGAAGGCGGGGAAGGGGATGGGGGAATGGAGGGGAAGGCGGGGAAGGGGATGGGGGAATGGAGGGGAAGGCGGGGAAGGGGATGGGGGAATGGAGGGGGAGTGAGGTGTGGAGGGTGGGGCAGGAAGGGGAGGTGCCGGCGCTGCTCGCCGGCAGCGCGGTAGCGCCACGCGGGTGGCGGTGGCGCGCGCGATTGCAGCATTGTGAAGGGGGCGCACGGGAGGATGGAGAGGTGGAGGGGAAAGGTGGGAGGAGCGACGGGAGGTCGAATGGAGAGGCAATTGAGGCGGGCAGGATCGGAAGTGTGATTCGTGCCGGCTCACACGAACGGCTAAAGGCATCCGCTGCGTTGCGCCAATGAACAACCCCCTTTTGGCCCTGTGAACAGTTCACTGGGGATATCGTATTGCTCTAGGGGGGCGATATCGGAAGGGAACAATACGTCACATGCTGCCAGCTGCGTCGTGCACCTGCCACGTGGCGCTGTTCAACACTAGCGCGCGCGCCAATGCTCCCCCGTCGTGCCGGCAGCAGCCGCGGCTCGCCGCACCGCCGCACGGCGTCGGAGGCGGACCGAGCGGCGCCCATCGCGGAAAAGTCGCTCCGCATTTGGCGCGCGCTGCTGCTAGCCGGCAACCGCAACGCGGCGACGCGAGCGATGGTGTGCGATTGCGCGGCCGAGTACGCAGCGACACCAGTCACGCTCATCGCTGCGGTCGCCGCTGCCGCCGCGACCATGATGAGAGCAGCTGTGACGGCGCTGCTCAGCAACAGCTGGGCAGATAAACGGTTGCAGCAGGGATGACGGAAGAGCTGCGATTAAAGCTCGCGTCTCATATTTCCAACCGTTTAAAGCCCGCGCCTAGAATGGCAAGGGTTCATAAATACTGAACTTGAAAAGGGTTGCGCGAAGGTTGACGAGAGAAAAAATCGCCTGAGGAAGTTGGCGAAGGCAGAATGCCCGAAAGTGTATCGCAACTTCAACTTCAACTTCAACTTCCCGAAACTTGAACAAACAGCTTTGACAAAACCAAACCCAACCACTCTCATGAAGCTCACAACCCGGATTTCCGCCATGTCCACAAGCACTCTCTTTGAGCAGCCTGAGAAAAACATGCGTAAGACCAGATAGAGCATCAGTGTTAGGAAAATATGAAGTATCCAGAGTAAAATAGCTGGGTATGACATGTGAGAACACATGCTTTTATGCCGGAATCGAGAGGAATCCGAGGACCGAGGTAGGGAATGTGGCTCGAATGCGAGTGTGAAGCAAGGAGATATTGTGCAAGATGAGAAATTAGAGCGTTGTCGACTCCGCTTCCCCCGTCCGTCCATATCTCGCATCCACCGTCCGTCGCCACAGCTTCCCCCATCCGTCGCACCAGCTTCCCCCGCCCATCGCCCTCGCTTCCCCCGCCCATCGCCCTCGCTTTCCCCTCCCGTCGCCCTCGCTTTCCCCTCCCGTCGCCCTCGCTTCCCCCTCCCGTCGCCCTTGCTTCCCCCTCCCGTCGCCCTCGCTTCCCCCTCCCGTCGACCTCCCATCCCCCTCCCGTCCCCCTCCCGTCCCCCTCCCGTCCCCCGCCAATCGCCCTCCCGTCCCCCTCCCATCGCCCTCCCGTCGCCCTCCCATCCCCCTCCCATCCCCCTCCCATCCCCCTCCCATCCCCCTCCCATCCCCCTCTCATCCCCCTCTCATCCTCCTCCCATCCCCCTCCCATCCGCCTCCCATCCCCCTCCCATCCCCCTCCCATCCCCCTCCCATCTCCCTCCCATCCCCCTTCCATCCCCCTCCCATCGCCCTCCCATCCCCCTCCCGCCGCCCTCCCATCCCCCTCCCCTCCCCCCTCCCAACCCCCTCCCACCCCCCTCTCATCCCCCTCCCATCCCCCTCCCATCCCCCTCCCATCCCCCTCCCATCCCCCTCCCATCCCCCTCCCATCCTCCTCCCATCCCCCTCCCATCCTCCTCCCATCCCCCTTCCATCCCCCTCCCATCGCCCTCCCATCCCCCTCCCGCCGCCCTCCCATCCCCCTCCCATCCCCCTCCCAACCCCCTCCCACCCCCCTCTCATCCCCCTCCCATCCCCCTCCCATCCCCCTCCCATCCCCCTCCCATCCCCCTCCCATCCCCCTCCCATCCCCCTCCCGCCCCCCTCCCATCCCCCTCCCACCCCCCTCTCATCCCCCTCCCATCCCCCTTCCATCTCCCTCCCATCGCCCTCCCATCCCCCTCCCATCCCCCTCCCATCGCTCTCCCATCCCCCTCCCATTCATTCTGCTCATCTTTCCGTCCTTATTTTCCTGGGTCAATCTGTTTCCCCTGCTCATTCTCTCCCGCTCACTGTGTTTCTCCTGCCCATACTCTCCCCAACTACTCGCTCTGTTCCTCTCTGCTCACTCTCTTTCCCCCTGTTCGCTATGTTTCTTCCTGTTCACTCTCTCTTCCGCTGCTCAATCTGTTCCCCCTTTCACTCATACCCATCTCCAACCACGCAGTGTACAGGTCCCAGGCCACCAACACCACAGGCCAAGGTTGCATGCAGTGTAGCAAACAAGAACGGGGGAAAAAAAAAATACATTTCCTAGCTGTCTTCTTCGCGTCGATAATCAACTGCGAATTTTGTTGCACTTTTTTGTAGTGGTCATGTGCACGGCTGCTCTCAGCTCAAAGTTTGTAATACCGGTATAACAAAGCATCCAAGATCCAAACAATGCATGGCAAGTCATTATAGTACTATCAAACTGCCAACCAACACATCACCACAGCACCAGCACTGATGCATAGCGGACCTGTACAAACACAAATCAGGAAATTAGATGTGAGATGGCTGAGCAGCAGGGAAGCATACGGTGAAGGGCAGCACGGATCGCGTGCAGAGGAAGGAATGGGAGGGGAATGACAAGGAATGCAACAGCGAGGCAGGGGCAAAGATTGAAGGGTGAGCAGGGGACAGCGAGCAAAGGACAGAAACAACAAATGTATGAGTGAGCAAGGAACAGGGTGAGCAAGATGACAGAGAGCAAAGGGAAAGTGAGAGAAGGACAGAAACAGCGAAGGAGTGAGTAAGGCACAGAGTGGAAGGGTGAGGGATGAGTGTCAGGGTGGGTATGGTGGAATGGGTGGTGGAAAGATGGTAGAAGAGTGTGACGTGATACCAATGCAGAGAAGGCAAACGAAAGAGACTATTTGATTGACCTCCCAACTACCCCCTGTTGGAGGCCACTACCTCAGTGTCAGGGGTGTGTGGTGTGCCTGTGGTCGTGGGCGTGAGAGCTCTCGAGCGTTGGAAAGGCAGTCAAAGCGAACCACCACTTCCTCTGTGAGGTTGGCTGCTGCTGCCGCCGGCAGGAACCCTATCTGACCATGAAGGGCACAGTGGCAGGGTGTTGAGATATGAGGTGTGAGGCATGGGGCATGGGGCATGGGGCGTGGGGCATGGGGCAACAGATGATCGGAAAAGGGCAAGAGGGATGAAGGGGAGAAAGGCAACGGAGGGGCAAACCAGGGGGGAAATCGGAGGGGCGGGAGCTGCGGAAAGGGAAAAAGATGGAGACAAGAGGAGAAACGGATCCAGCACACGGGGATACGGAGCAACGAACAAGGGGGGAAACGGAGGGAAGGACTTGGGCGAAAGGGAGGGAGACACCAGCAACTGGGAGGGCAGAACAGGGGGGAAAGGGAGGGAGAGCTGAAGCGGGGAGCCCGAGGGACGGACAAGGGTCTTGAGAAGGAGGGAAAGTGGGACAGGGAGGAAGAAATAAGGGGGAATACGGAAGGAAGGACATGGGGGAAAGGTTGGAAGGAAAAAGGGGCGAAACGGAGGAGAGGACAATGGGAAAGGGAGGCAGTGACAATAAGTGAGATGGAGGGAATGACCGGGGGGAAAGATAGGGAAGGACAATGGGGGAAACGGAGTGAAGAACAAGAAACAGGGAGGGAGAAACGTGGCGAGCTCATCAAAGGGCATGTTGGTGGACATAAGGATAGGGAAGGTAGAGGAAAGGGCAGAGCGGGCAGAGGAGAGGTAAAGGGAGAAAACGGGAGAGAGGTAAAGGAAGAGAGGGACTGAGAGGGAAAAGAGGAGAGGGGCTGAGAGGGAAAGGAGGAGAGGGGCTGAGAGGGAAAGGAAGGAGAGGGGATGAGAGGGAAAGGAAGGAGAGGGGATGAGTGGGAGGGCGGCGAGGCGAAGACAGAGAAGGGAAGGAGGAGAGCAGCGGAGAGGGAACATGTGTGAGCATGTCGTGTGTGACGTGTGTGAGTGACAAAGGAAGATGGGAAGAGGAGGAACGGGGAAGGGCGCAAGGGGGAAGAGGGGGGAAGGAGCAGATATGAGCGACATGTGCGAGCGACGTGCGTGGGTGACGGGAGTGAGAGCGGGACGGAAGTGAGAGAGCGACGGGAGTAAGAGAGCGACGGGAGTGAGAGAGCGACGGGAGTGAGAGAGCGACGGGAATGAGAGAGCGACGGGAGTGAGAGAGCGACGGAGTGAGAGCGTTGCGGGCGTGAGAGATCGATGGTAGTGAGAGCGCGACGGAAGCGAGAGAGCGACGGGAGTGAGAGAGCGACGGTAGTAAAAGCGTGACGGAAGTGAGAGAGACGGAGTGAGAGCGTGACGGGAGTGAGAGAGCGACGGGAGTGAGAGCGTTGCGGGAGTGAGAGAGCGACGGGAGTGAGAGAGCGACGGGAGTGAGAGAGCGACGGGAGTGAGAGCGTTGCGGGAGTGAGAGAGCGATGGGAGTGAGAGCGCGATGGGAGAAAGAGTTTGACGGGAGAGAGAGAACGACGGGAGTGAACGACGGGAGTGAGGGCGGGCCTTGAGTTATTGCGGACCGGCATTGAGTGCGGACTGGGATAACCTTCAGTGGCGACGAGTGATTCTCACGGTGGCGATCAATCTGAGGGTCCTGTCTTTGTTCATGGCTACGAGATTGGATTTGTTATGCGCGAAAAAGTCGCCGGGAAGTTTCATCTGTATGTGCTACTAACGTCTTAGCATAGCGCGGGGAGATGGGCGTAACTATGCTGGCTACTGACGAGAACTTGGGCTATGGAGCCCACTATACTACGAGTCTAGAAAGGTGTTCTCGAGTTTCAAGTTCCGAAAGTGTGAACAGTGGTACTTGTCCTTGCTTGTTTCTCGCGAGGCTCGTTGGTGTTTTTGCTGAGGGGCATTTGGCCAATCACCTTCTGGCCCACCAGCTCCCTTCTCGGTGAGTCGCGAGAGATCAGCTTTCTGAACCTGGTTACCCTGTTCTTGACGAACACAAGTTCAAGAATCTTGAAGTTGAACCCTTACCATTCTAGACTCGGGCTTTAACACTTGGTTGGGTTTGCTTGACTGTGATTGGGTAACGAAAACGAAATATTTGACGAGTGGGTGAAAAAATCACAGCGAACTACCAAAACAGTCGAGGCCAAAACAAACCAGGGTGGGTTGGTTTGGGTGGAAAACGAGCCAAGGGGGACAGGTTCGGTCCCCCCTTCTGTCAACGTTGAGTTTCAGAGTCTCATATTTTCGGAAGTTGTAAACGCTTGGTGTGCACGGGAAGTGTGCGACAGCCAACTTTCCCAAACCAAACCTTGCTTTGGTGTGCTTTGCGACAAACTTTGCTGTTACCAAATTCCAACCGTTTAACACTTGGTTGGATAGCAGAAATATGAGACGCGAGCTAGTGATGCGAGTCGTATACGCCAGAAGGCGCGTCGAACTAAAGACACGAAAGTTAGGGTTGAGGGCATGTTCAGACTTCCGGGTCGACGGTGTTATCGGGTGCACATGAAGTTGGAACCCAGCAGCTTCATGCCGGATATTCCGAATGACACGAACAACAAAGACCCAGTATGTGGCGTTTTGCAGCGAAATAACGATGGCGAAAAGCCAAGGCAATTTCACGAGGAAACGAAGTTCGGAGAGAACAGGTGGACGCAGCAAAACATTCACTGCTGTGCCAGCCGGGAATCGAACCCGGGTCTGCACCGAGCTGATGGCAGGGTGCTATTCTACCTCTTTATTGATACTATAGTAAATGTACAATGTATACAAGGCAAATCCAGACACCTAGTGCATGGAAAGACATGCAGGCTAATCCTATTGTGAGGCCTACAAATAGGCCTCTGAGATGTCTCAGTGGTCCTCTCCCAAGTAGGCAAAGTCAGCTGCAGAAAGAGAAGTCACCTCGGGTGGTGCGTGGTTGACGCCTTCGGTAAAACGAATTTGTGCACGACGACAAACAGTGCGAGCCTGCTCACGTTGGTGGACCAGAGAAATCCGTTTGTAGAAGTTGGTCTCAAACAGCAGGGGAAGAGAATCTGTAGCACCACTCAAGTCGCGGAGTTGTGACGCCCCTTTGCGGCTACATTGGCGAAGGAAGTTGTTGAACGAAGAGCCGAAGCAACCGAAGGTTTCGATGACAAGGGGAAACAGTTTGATGTCTGGACGGTCATGAAGTGCTGTAGCATAGTGGGTGGTCTTCTCACTTTCACGAGTGGCTGCTGCTGAACCAATCACCGTAGCTGCGTTGGAGTGCGGAAACCCCTTTTGTGGATCAGCAACAGAAACATCCAAGGCCCAGGTGGTACCAGAGCTAATGTCGCGGCACGTGATGTCTGTGCGGCGGCCAGGCAGGAGATGCTGGTCTTCCATCTGCGCAGAGAACCCAAGCTCCAAGGCAATGCGATGAACTTCTCGTTTGATTGCGTCGTGCACCTTAGTAGGCTCGTTGTTGCTAGGGCAGCGAAGGACATGAGAATGGATGGAAGGATCGGTGAACGGGGAGTTGCAGGTGCAGGTGAGCGAAGATGAAAGGTGAGGGAGAGGAAGGCCTAAGCGGATAGCTGCTGCAATGCGCCATTCAGTCTCTGAAAGCTGCATGTGCGGGGAGGATGGAGCCACAGTGAGCCAGTCACCTGCATGCGGGCCCTGCAAAGAGGTTAGACGAGCAAGGCGAAGCGGGGACGTTACTGTGGCTCGAACCTTCTCCAGCAAATCGGCTTCGAGGTGTTGGGAGAGATGAGTAAAGAGTTTAGGAGGGTAGCCCGATTGAAGCACAGGCCATGATGGGAAGCGATCACGAATGTCTTGGGGAAGCATAGTCATGGTGGATGAGATTGAAGGGTCGAGGAGGTTAATGGAGTCCGTGGTGACGTAGGGGCGGAAAAGAGGAGCACCATCAGTGATGAAGTGGGTGGATAAGGTCGAAACTGTCTGCGCCCAGCTACAGAGGTAACTGAGGGGGGCGATGGATGCAGAGCTGCGAATGCCGAAGCCACCTAAGCGGATAGGGAGCGAGGCTTGGAGGCGGGCCGGTGCTATTCTACCTCTTTATTGACACTATAGTAAATGTACAATGGATACAAGGCAAATCCAGAGACGTAGTGTATGGAGAGACATGCAGGCTATTCCTATTGTGAGGCCTACAAATAGGCCTCTGTGATGTCTCAATGGTCCTCTCCCAAGTAGGCAAAGTCAGCTGCAGAAAGAGAAGTCACCTCGGGTGGTGCGTGGTTGACGCCCTCGGTAAAACGAATTTGTGCACGACGACAAACAG